ATAATTTAAACTAACTAAATTCTTTATTTAAAAAATTATTTTATAATTTCTTTTAGTTGGTAAGTTATAAGTTATTTATTTAATTCTATTATTACTTATTTATATAATATTTACATATAATTTAAACTAACTAAATTCTTTATTTATAAAAATTATCTAATAATATAGCTTGTAAGTTATTTGTTATTTCTATTGTCAAATATTTATTTGTTAATTGAATTTTTTCATATGAAATTTCTGTTATTTTAGTTGGTAAGTTGTGAAATATAGATTATTATTATGTATGTTTGTACAAAAACTACGAAACTAAGACATATGTTATATTAAATTTCTATTAAATTTAGAGTAAGTGTTGATTTTAATCTTAAATTTTAGTGTAATTTTTGATATAAACTTCCATAATAATTTTAATTATTTAAATTTATAGGTTTGGAAAAAGTGGAAATGCAATTATAGATGATTTTATTTTGGAAAAAAAATTAAAATGGATACCTTATGATAAACTTAGAAATGTTGAATATTTTGATAAAGGAGGATTTGGTACTATATACAAAGCTATTTGGTTTTATGATGGTAAAGATAATGAAATAATTCTTAAATGTTATGATAATTTAAGTGAAAATTTAAATGAATTTTTAAACGAAGTATGATAATATATTATTTTCTTTTTAATTTAAATTATAATTTATTTATACTAAAATATTATTATTATTTTATAGTGGAAATATCATGAAAGTTGTTTAAATTCAGATGATATTATTTATTTTTATGGGTTTACAAAAGATCCAGATACTTTGAAATATATGGCGGTAATGGATTATGCAAACAAAGGTAATTTAAGAGGAAACTTAACAAGAATAATTAAAAGTGATTGGAATCAAAAATTATATATGTTATATAAAATTATTTCTGGACTTAATTTTATACATAGCCAAGATCTTGTTCATTGTGATTTTCATGATGGTAATATTTTAAATCATAATGAGAGTAAAATTTATATTAGTGATTTAGGATTATGTAAACCTGTAAAATCATTTTTGAAAGAATATGATATTTGTGGTGTTATACCATTTATGGCACCTGAAGTTTTAAGAGGCAAATCCTATACTCCAGCTAGTGATATGTATAGTTTTTCTATAATTATGTGGGAATTTACATCTGGGATACCACCATTTAGTAATAGAGCACATGATTTTCAACTTAGTATAAGTATTTGCAAAGGTGAACGTCCTGAAATTATTGAAAATACTCCACAATGTTATGCAGACTTAATGAAAAAATGTTGGAATGAAGATCCATTAAAAAGACCATCTACATCAGAAGTGAATGGTATTATTGAAGATTGGATTTTCCGTCCTTATAATGATGAAGTTAGTGAAGAAATAAAAAGCAACATTATGGAATTTATAAATGCACCAATTGAGCATAAAAATCTTGTTACTACTAAATCTCACCCTAAAGCATGTTATACAAGTCGCTTACTTGATTTTACTAGTAAACAATTGAATGAAATTCTTGAAAGTGAAGATTCACAAGCTAGTGTAAAAGTGAATGAAATGTCAGTAAGTAAAGATTTAGATGATTGTATAGTTAATTTGAAGTAATTAGGTATGTAATATAGTATATAAAAAGAATTACTATTTTGCAAATTATTAATTATATTTATTTAATTATTTAGATATTAAAACAGATAAAAATAACTAATTATTTGTGGTTTTATAAGAATTTATAGTTTTTTTTAAGTGATATCTGATGCCATGCATTTAACAGAAATTGTTGCTTAGATTTATTTAAACACTAAGGCTAGAGTAGTAAAATATTTTACAAGATTCTTAGTTTGCAATTTAAATAATTCCTTTTTTTATAGCATATCCAAGTTTAAATATTTATATTCTCTTTTGTTTTACTTAGAATTATTTAAACACTAAGACTAGAGTGGTAAATATTTTACAAGTTTCTTAGTTTGTAATTTAAATAAAACTTTTTTTTTTTAACTTTTCCAATTATTAACTATAAATTATCAAAATAATAATATAAGTATATAAACTATTTCCAATGAATAAAATAAAAATAAATAATGTAAAATTTTTTATATTCATTTCAATAGCTAATTGAATAATATATATTGTTGACTTTTATTTTTAGTATCATTTTAACGCTCACCAGAGGTGAAATTCACCTGAATTTTACTGTATCACATAATTTATAATTATTATATTAAAATTTAAATTTTTTCATTTTTGAAAATTCTCTTTCTAATGAATATGTCACGTTTACATTAATGTTAGATTAGTTTTGAGTGATTTGCTAATTATATTATTACAAATTTATTAAGTAAAAAATGATCAAATTTCATTAGAAGTGAATATACTATTAAATTACAAACAAAAAATAACTGCGTGGGGTTTTTTTATCTATGTATGAACTGCACGTGAGTTTCACATGGATTTTGCATGGGCTGGGATTTTTTACTGCGCATCAGTTATTAACTTTAACAATCTTAAAAAATATACTAAATGTGTTAAACGTAATTTTCTGGGTAGCTCAAAGGATAGTACAAGAGTTTGATAAGCATTGTAATGGTTTTCGGTTAACATGTCCTCACTTCAAATTTTAAAATTATTAGCAAATTGGTACATTATTGAAGGAAGCAAAGACCAAAAGGAAATGCAGTTGGTTTGTATATTTATTTTTAAACACTTTTTATATTTATTGTATTAACCGAAGTTTAATATTGATATTCATTCGTTAACATACTGTTGTCCAATCAATTTATTGAACAAACTGAATATATGAACAAAGGTTCCTACAAAAAATACCATTGATCCCTAAAAGACTATTTATAAATTAATGTAAAATCTAATATGTTTAGTTTTTCATTCATATATAAATAAAGATGGTCTTGCGATCCCGTCAGTCCCACTTCGTACTGCTGGGCCAGTCTTTGGAATATTTGGAAAAATAACAGTGATTGCGCCTTAAAACTTGTGGCATCATAATCCAGTCTTTTACCAGTAGTGAACTTAGGAAAGTAACAAATTTTGACACTTTGTTTATTTTCAAGTTTATAAAAAATAAATTTTGTCATTATTTAACAAATTATTTATAGGAAGTAAGTTAATTATTTAATTCTATTATTTACAAATTTATATAATAATTACGTACATTTATACTAGTTAAATTTTTTATACTTAATTTGGTGTGAAATGTTAGTTTAAAATATATACATTATTAAAAAAAATTTAACTAAATAATCGAAAGAAAATTAATTGGTTCCCTGTTTGGTACAGTTTAGTTAGTTTAGTTCAAAACAGGTGCATAAACTTTATTCGAAAGGTTAGATTGTATTAATCGTCCACACTGTAAAGCTGAATATTCAAATTAAAATTTTTACAATTATTGTAGTGAATATAATAAATATCAGATATCATATAAATAGTAAAGATAGTGAATATATTTAATAATGCTATTTATTCAAGATTTTAACAAAATATATATTATAAATGAAAACAATCATAAAGAACAATTTATAATTAAATATTTTCTTGAATCCATTCAAAATCTTCAAAAATATTATCATTCGGAACACTATGATTATACATTTTAACAATTCCTTGTGTTTTATATTCTTCTATTAAATCAAAGTATTTGGCTCCAATTATTTTAGACACCCAATAAATATCTTGAATAGTTTGTAATAGCATAGAATGTTTGCCTATCCAATTATCAAGGAATAATTTTAAAGATTTTAATTTAGGTGTCTCATAAAAATAGAATTTAAATTTAAACAAATTAATTGGTGATGACCTAGTCAAAACTTCAAATAACAAATCCCAATTAAATTCATAGTCATTATTACTATCCCAAATATCATTATCAACCAAAATGTATAATCCATTTAAATATTGACAATTATTTAATAAATTTTCTAATTCTAAAATATTCCGATTTCTAAACATTAGTTTAAGGTATGTAAGATTTGGACAACTTTGATAAATAACTTGAATAATTTTTTCATTATCAATCTCATTACGGAATATGTGATCAATACTTATTTCAATAAGATGTCCATTTGTATTATTAATTAGACTCGTTAATACCTTGATTAAGACATTTTTAGCTTTCAAAATTTGTAGGAATGGTAAAGATATATTCTTCAACTCTGACATTCTTTCAACATATTCACCACTTAATTCTAATCTATTTAAATTTACAAAAGATGAAAGGATATTTGTGGTAGGTTGTATATTTGTCTTAAAATGTAGTAGAGTATTCGCATGTTTAACTAACGAATTTTCAAGAACCTTACAAAATATATCATTTTTAAAAAATTCCTTGGTTATCAAACAAACATTAAATAATTTTTTGGGACTTTCAATTAATTTATTAATTCCATAATTGTTATTATGCTTCTCAATAAGAAGTTCTAATTTTTTAACTGAATTGCATATTTCTGTTAATCCAATTAAAACATTATCATTGATGCAAGTATTACAGCTGAGAAATTCAAGCTCTGAAAAACAGCGCTTGGCTCCAGGAAAAAGGTTTATTTGATAATCAAATTTTTTGGGTATATATAGGTGTGTTAATCTTGTATTTTCATTAATAAAAAGACTAATTATTTCTTTTCTAAAATTTAAAAATACGTCAATATCATAAGGATCAATAATAATAACGTTGATCATTTTATCCAAATCATTTATATTTAAATATCTACAAAAACTAATGTAATTAAATAAAGGTTTTTGATAAACAGTTGTCAAAAATTGAACCCCTTTATTCTTCAAATTACTTCTTGACTCATCTGACAAATGTGAAATGACAACATTTAATAGTATTAATAATAACTCTTCAATCAAATATTTCCAAGGATTTTTCCATAAAATCGGAATGGTTATTTCACACCAAGTTTTATTAACTGGAAGGCATGAAAGAAAGGTTTTTTTATCATTTTGTAATTCTTTGAAAATAAGATAAAGAATATCTCCATTTAATTTGAACATTATTATTATTTTTTTTTTTAGGAAAAAAAAATGTACGTATAAAAAGTTTTTTGGGCTTTTGGCGCAAATGAGCAAATAGTGACTATATTTATTTGTTTCATGTTGTACAGAAAGATCATAAAGACAAATGATCGACCATATTACGTGTCCAAAAAGATCTAAGTTTATTCAAAGTTATTTTGGAAGGAAATTTGGACATTTATAATTTAAATTTTAGAATGGTATTTTGGAAATTCAGTAATGCACGACTGAATCTGATAAACCAATTACGATACAGTTGATCAAATTTCCAAAAATTCCGCAGGTGCCGGACCAATCCCTCCTCACCTCCCCCTCAAAAATTTTGGTTTCTTATAAAAAAATTTTTTTATATAAATATTCCCCCTCATGGAAATCTATTTTTTTTTCCTTCCCCTCCCTCATAATTTCAAAATTTTAATAAAAAATTTTGTAAATTTATCTCTTTAAAAAATTTTAAACTTTATTAATATTGTATTAATATTGTAATTTTATGCTATATAATTTATTACAATGTAGACGTTTCTAGAACATCCGTCAAATAAAGTATCTATCTAGTAAAACAAAAAACAAACAACTTACCCTTCCAGATATGTATAAAATTAATTAACCCAAAAATCAACAGCGAATCCCTAAAGAGCTTAATCTCTATGCAGTGTTAAAGGTACCCAAATCGGATGTAAATAATATATTTAGCTATGAAACTAAACTCGATCCCTGCTTTATCATTCTAGTTCTAATTAAAACAATCTTGTCTATCTAAAACTAAAATTTTACTATGATTTGTTGAAACTTTATTGAACGTATTGAACGTCTATTCGCTATCGCGATTAATTTTAATTTATTTATTTTAATTTTATTTTTATAATTTGTACATAATAAGTTTTTATTTAGAGTCTTCTCTTTGTCCCTGAACTGTCACTATTCGTTTCTTGGTTTCGTTCAATAGTGCAGTTGCTGAATCTACGTCTTTTCTTTGCATTTAATTTATTAAATTTTCGACTATCTCTTTACTCGGCACCTTAGATATCGTAGGACGCGTTAACGCGTCTACAAATTGTTCGTCCTCCAAAAGAGTAAGTGCGTTATTTGTGGACGTCTGTCGATATCTCGGTTTCGTAAAACTTCCATCTTTTCCTATTATTTCGTTTTGTTCTTTTATCTGGAGTTCATTGCCTAAATCTTCAATATATATATATATATATATATATATATATATTTATAACTGAATCATATGTGGCCTTGAATAAATCTTGTTCATTATTAAATTACATTAAAATATACTTCACTCTGTTAATGATTTTAGCATATGTCTTTAATAATCCTTAATAATATTGTATTTATTTTTCTCGATTTCTTGATCGCTTAATTTTTTAACCGCTTGATAACTATATCTTTTCTTAATATCACTGGATGAAATCATAGCGTCAAATATTCTCAAAAATATAAACGTCCGTTTTTCGTTATTGTTATGTTAGATCCACCCTTTAGAAAAATTCGGTCCATATCGTTTGTTAAGCGAATTTTGGTTTGGACGGGTTTTATATTTGTAATTTCGTTTGACCGTTAATCTTTCTAAGTAGCCTGCTTGTTTCATCACTTCATCTTCCAATACGCCGGGAGATCATTAAATCTTAAGTCACGTGACACTTCGGCAAAAATGTTTATCCAAATAATTGCTATCGGAAATTGTTTTAACCGGAACCTCAGCGATCTTTTCCAATCTGATTTTTTCCGGTTGTGTGACGTCGATTTTTCCGATTAGTGTTACGTTTCTTATCTGTTATGGGCTGATTTTTTCTTTGTTGAGTAAAACTAAATTTATTCGCACAACTCGTTTGCGGTTGCTGTTCTAACTTCAGTGCGTTGATGTCCTCATATTTCTTTATTATTATTCGTTCCTTTGCGGTTACATCAGATTCTAAATCCTTTATCTTTTCTTGTAGACTAATAATTGTTTCCTCTTGTAGTTCGATATCTAATTTGAGTATTTTTTTCTTCCAACTCGCGTATTCGTTCCTTAGATGTTACCTCAGTTTCTACCAATTTGGTTATCTTCTCTTCCAGCCACGTGATATTGAACTGTTGCTGCGCTTGCTAGACGAATAAAAATTTTTTTCGAGAAACTGTAGCAACCTTCGCTTCAATATTTACCACTCCATCTTATTATAAACATTTCAGTGAAAAACGCTGGTGGACGACAGTGACGAAAGTCTGCTTGAAATATTCTTTCCGGTAACGTATCGTACACGCTATCTAGAACCCAAAATTCATTATTCATCTGAACATCATAAAAGTGTTGCTCCTCTATCCCTTCGAACTCCTGATAGAACTCTTTTAAAAAGTTGTTTGCCGGCGCTATAAACATGTTTGTTGTCATATTTGTATATAGTTTATAGTAAAATTATTTTTTAGGATTGGATTAGCTATTTTGTATTTCGTATATATTTTGTGAAATATTTCTTCCGTTATAATTTTGGTACGAAAGATCGTCGGAAAGAGTTCCCCGCTTGTCTATCGTAAATTATTTTTGTCTCGTTCCTCCCTCTCTTTTTTCAATAAAAACTCTTGTTAAATAAAAAATCCTGTTAATTGACTGGCCTGCGCCTAAGTACTGGAATCAATTCGATCAATTGATTTGCAAATTCTTGCATATTTTCCTAACTAAAATTACATTGAAATTTTGATGCATGTTTTCCTCATACGGACGCACTGTGTAGTGTAACTAATAGTTTTTTTTGGAAGATTTAACCGAATAATTGAAAGCAAATTTATTTGGTCCAGGTTTTTAAATAGTAGATTTATTGAAACAGAGAAATATTATTTAATAGCCCAAAATCAAAAGTCTTTTTAGTTTCACTGACGGTCCTTATAGGACCCCAGATAATTATATATAATTTGGTATATATTACTTGTTTATTACCTGGGTTCACCGAATATTATTGACTTTGTTAATTTGAATATTGTACAATTAATTAATTTATATTTATATTGTATTTTATGAGCCCGCCTAAATATTTTATGAATTCATTAAATCAAGTTATTTATTATGGTAAATGTATAAAAATATTAATAAAGATAATGTAATTATAAATTGTTTTTATTGATATAAAGAATAATTCGTAAATTAAATGTTTTCTTGAAGCCATTCAAAATCTTCAAAAGTACTTTCATTTAGAACATGATTATACTTTTTAACAATTCCTTGCATTTTGTATTCTTCCATTAACTCAAAATATTTCATTCCAATTTCAAGACCAAGTCCCCAACTATTATCTTGAATTGTTTGTAATAATATAGAACGTCTACCTTTCCAATTATCAAGAAATAATTTTAAAGATTCTAATTTTGGTGCTTCATAAAAATAGAATTTGAACTTAAACAAATTAGGTGAAGATGAACTAACCAAAATTTCAAATAGGTAGTCCCAATTAAATACCATGTCACCATCAACCCAATAAGTTGTATTATCAATAATAATATATAAACCATTTAAATTTTTACAATTAATCAATAATTTTTTTAATTCTAAAATATTTTTGTTTTTAAACATTAGTTTAAGATATTTGAGATTTGAACATTTTCTATAAATAATTTGAATAATTTTTTCATTATCAATATCATTATGAAGTACACAATCAATTTTTATCTCAGTAAGACCCCCATTTGTATTTTCAATTAAATTTGTTAAAGCTTTGATTGGGATTCCTTTAGCTTTTAAGATTTGTAAGAAAGGTAGAGAAACATTTTTTAAACAATTCCATGACATTCTTTCAACAGGATTGCCACCCAATTCTAATCTATTTAAATTTACTAATGATGAGAGAATGCTTGTAGCAGGTTGCTTAATTATCTTAAAATTTTGTATAGTATCTGCATGTTTGATCAACGAATTTTCAAGACTTCTACAAAATGATTCATCACTATTTAAAGATCTCTTGGTTAACAAACGTACATTATATAATTTTTTAAGACTCTCAACAAGTTTAATAATTCCATAATTGTTATTATCCTTTTCAATAAATAGTTCTAATTCTTTAATTGATTTACATATTTCTGTTAATTCGGACAAGACGCTATCATTAATACAAGCATTACAGCTTAGAAATTCAAGATCTGAAAAGCAGTGTTTTGCCCCAGAAATAAGGTTTATTTGATAATCAAATTGATAAGGTATATAAAGATGTGTTAATCTTGTATTTTCGTTGATAAAAAGACCAAATATTTCTTTTCTAATAGTTGAATAATCATCAACATCATCAAGTTCAATAGTATCGATTATTTCATTTAAATTATTTATATTTAAATGTCTACAAAATCTAATATAATTAAAAAAAGGTTTTTGATAATTTATCAAATAATTAATTGATAAACTATTTCTTGACTCATCTGATAAATGTGAAATGATGACGTTTAATAGTAATTTTTTCCCTTTTAAGAATTTCCAAGGATTCTTCCATAAAATTGGAACGGTTGTTTCACACCAAATTTTATTAACTGTAAGGCATGAAATAAGAGTTTTCTTATCATCTTGTAATTCTTTGAAAATTAAGTAAAGAATATCCCTGTTTAATTTGCACATGGTTAAGATTGTTGGCGTAAAATCGTTCAAATGACTCAATATTTATAATATTTATATCATGCATGTCGCAGATTGTCACACGACCCCTGACAACACGCTATTGTACCACATATCGTACTTTTGTGATCGTGATATCACGTGACAGTAATAGAAGATAAAATAATTTTTAAATTATTTTTCAATTTAAAATGCTTAAAAATAAAAAAAAAATTTAAAATCTAAATTAAAAAATTAAGTAGTTGGAATAAGTGGATTTACTACTCATTAAAAAACTCTCATTTTTTATTTTTGAGCGTGTCTCGATACGTAAACCACGCATTTTGTTAAACGTTCGAGAAATATTCTAGTATCTTTTTGAAAGTGTCTCGATTATTTTGTCCTGTTACTATTGATGAACAGTAATAATGAGTAAATAAGTCTGTTCCAGGATACGAGAGGAATTAGATACTACTATTCTAGTTTATCTATTGTTACGCAGTAAAATGTTGCGCAGCAATCATGTGATATAACTGGACCCGTGATGCCGATCAATGTCGAATATGTTTGACATGTTCGATATGTTGCATATGTCCGATATATAGAATATATAGAAT